GCTCTGGTGCTACAGGAAGAAATGGAGGTCACATCAGACCGTCTTCCTATGCCGAGTATGCTGGCGCCAAGACGGCAGTATCACAGTCAGAAGCCGCCAAGATCACCAGGCTGCGCTCCGCCCATGTGGACGCGCTGATATCAGCAGCCAACTCTCTTCCGAAAGAGGGTAGACTCGCTGCAGAAGCTCGTGTTGTGGACAGCATCGACGCCTTCTTCGATCAAGAGAGATGGGAGACAGCTGTCGAACAGGTCAAGGCCCTCAAGGATGAAGTTCCAGATGTTGGAGCTGAATGGTCCATCTTTGAAGGTGAAGAAGCTCGCAATGTAAGTCATCATAGTCCACCAAGTTTGGTATAGAGGCTCACAGAATGGTTAGATTTCGCTTCTCACTGAGACCGTTGGGATTCTTACCGGGACCACCAAGATGGCTGGTGCAATTTGGCCATACCGCTTCATCACGAATGCGCTGAAGTCACTTCTGAGCACCTACCCTAAATTCACTTTGGACACCAACACAGTTGCCTTGAACATTTCTGCCATCACCGAGTCGGCCAGTCCCTCAGACTATGAGGTTCACACTTCCAGAGGAAGCATCAGAACCAAACACGTCGTTTATGCGACCAACGCTTGGACACCACACTTCGTTCCCGGCTTACAAGGCGCCATTCGCGGAGGTCGCTTGCATATGAGTGCCCAGCTTGGAGGCAACGGCTTGCCCAAAGCCGGAGAGTGGCCATCGTATACCGGCAATGGAAGTTTGGCTGGAGGACGTGCCTGGTCACTGTATCGAAATGGCTTGGATTACATTGTCCAGATGCCTCGGAATGGAGAGTTCATGTTCGGCGCAGATGTTGACGGAGATGACGCCAATGTCGACACCTACGACGACAGCCGGGCTCCCCTTCACCTTTCTGCCTCATATCTCAACGGAGCTTTACCAAATCACTTCGGTTACGACACTTGGGGTTCTGAGAGAACTGATTTTCCACAATCTTTGGATCCCAGTGTCTGGAATGGTCGTACGAAGCGCGTCTGGGTTGGCATCGAAGGCAGCTCAGTGGACTCCAGACCATTTGTAGGCCGTATCCCTCAGTCCGCTACAGGCCGATCTGTAAAAGCTACTTCGACTGGGAGTGAGTGGGTGTCTGCGTCTTTTGACGGCGAGGGGATGTGCTTTGCTTGGCTCTGCGGCCGTGCACTCAGTCGAATGATAGCGAAGACCGGCTCTGGAGCGAATGCCAGCAACGGCAGTCCAACCATCCCAGAATGGTTTCCAGAGTCTTTCTTGGTTACCGAAGAGCGTTTGGAAAAGAAGAATGTTACCAAGAGACAAGTACGTCAGTGGACGCACCCACGCATGGCCAAGGTTTTGCACTGGGAGTAGAGTAGCCTTGACTTGGAATGGGGGTGCTGTGATTTATCAAACACAGTCTTGGATGTCTCTCTACACACCGAGCACTGTTTTGAAGCTCAAGGATTTGTTTTATATATGTTTGGCGACGTTTGAGCGCCTCCTCAGACAGAAAGCTCTCTTCAGTTAAGGTAGCTTGTTGACATAAGGTACTTGGCGTAATGTAGCACCCATCTATTGTAGGATTTTGATATTACCAAAATGTGAGTTATTCGGTACGACATCATGAGGAGAGGACCCATTGAATAAACTCTGGCAACTCATGGATCTAACTGCATGGAATTGTCGAGCTAAATATCTCTTCGGCGTTAGAGTAAACAGAAACAACTTAATTGCGAAGCAAAGTACTTAGCCTTATTCAAACCAGCTTGACATCCATTAATGAGAGAAAGAAACCATGTTATATCATCTCATTTGGCAGTCTAGCATTCATTATAACCACCTGGGAGCTATCATTTGCATATAGACTTTGGCTCCATGTTTTCCATCGCATTAAATTTCTCGTTGCTGGCCAGGGTCTTATCACGACATCGGGTTTTCCGACAAGGGAGACATACGTTCTGCATTTTCCCCCACGATTCGCAGAACATGATACGTAATAAGGGACAGCGCTTGCTTGTCTAGGACCAATTCTCTCAAGACCACACTCAAATTGGAAGATTCTCCGACGTGAGGTGAGGCACCTCGGCTGTTCTTCCAAACTATTACCAACATAGGTCGGAATCGTGCTGAGTCAGCCAAATTTGCTAGCACGCCATGGGTGCCAAGTTGAGATCATCGAAGCTATCTGCACAACCCTCGTCGCTTCTTATCTGCATACGTACGCTGCTACCATGTTATCTTCAGTTGACAGCGGAGGTCACCGGCAATCACCTCGGCTGCCACCCCCATCTACCAGAAGTCTGGAACCCTTTTGGTGCGACAATCGCGGAGATGAGAGCGATGCCTCCAATCAGGGTCCCAATTGCGTGCTCTGCTTGCAACGTCGCGCAGCACCCAGCCACGTGGGAGTGGTGTTTCTCATAAATTCTTCTCGGCAGTGATGTCAAGCTTCTAACATCTTCACGACGGAGCTTCTTGTTTGGGCAAATCTTCTCTCTTGGATCATATCTCTGCCAGCGAGTCAGCATCTCAAGTTGCCATATTGAGGAGATCGTCACCGCTCGAAAAGACAGGCCTCCATCCAAGATGGCTGAAAAGGCAGACAGCGTTTCCGATACGGCGCAGCCAGTTGAGCAGTCGGAAAGGGTCGACGGTAAGACAGTTCGACACATCATCAATCTCATTCATAAATTGACGGCGTGCAGCGAAGTGGTATCGGACACCATTTTACAATGCCACGATTCTTGGCATGTGTAGTTTTGCAGCCCCCGGTCTTTGGGGTGCGATGAACTCTTTGGGTGCTGGTAAGTCTCATCTGAGGATTGAGGGTCCTTGTGCATCTATGGAAAATGAAGCGTCTGACAATGTTATAGGTGGTGCTCAAGAGCCATACCTTGTCAATACCGGAAACGCACTTACCTTCTGCCTCATGATCATCTCATGCTGGCTCACAAGTTCTGTTGTCAAATATGTCGGGATCAAGGGTGCCTTAGTCATCGGCACAATCGGGTTTGCTCCATACAGCGCAGGACTGTACCTGAACAACCGTTACGGCGTTGAGTGGCTCGTTATCCTTGGCGCTGCATTCTGCGGCGTATCAGCTGGTATTTTCTGGGGCTCGGAAGCTGCTATTGCCATTGCATATCCTGAGCCTCACAACAGAGGGCGCATGATTGCCTACTGGCTTACCTGGACTCGGGTTGGGCAAATCCTCGGCGGAGTCATCAACCTTGGCCTTAATGCGGACCGCAGTGGAGCTGGCAAGGTGTCGTACAAGGTTTACCTCATCTTCATCGCCTTACAAGCTTGCGGACCCTTCGTTGCCATGCTTTTGAACAAGCCAGAAAAGGTCCAGCGAGCCGATGGGAAGCCAGTCCAGCTGACCATTGCCGACAACCCATGGCAAGAGATCAAGGCTACGACCAAGACGTTCCTCACCCCCAAATTCCTGCTCCTCGTTTTGTGGATTGGCCAGGGCGTGTACTCTGAATCGATTTTCTTCACATATATCGCTCTGTGGTTCTCTGTCAGAGCTCGCGCCCTCGGATCACTTCTCTCCGGTATCGTTGCAGTCATCGCTGGTAACCTCCTTGGACTGTGGCTCGATCAGAACCAGATCGCTCTGAAGAAGAGAGCTCGCTGGGCTTTTGCAGTCATTATGACCCTCCAGGGTGCTTGGTGGCTATGGCTGACCATTAACGTCACCGAGTACCGTCGAACTCAGCCTACACTCGACTGGAGTGACCCAGGATTCGGCAGAGGCTTCGGTGTCTTCATCTTCTTGGTCGCTGGCTTCCAATTGAACTACAACTTTGCATTCTTCATAATTGGACAAATTTCCGAAACCCCTCAGGAGACGATCCGCCTGTCAGCACTTCTTCGGGGAACAGAGTCAGCCTGGCAAGCTGTCAGTTATGGACTAAACGCAATCCCAATTTTCGCCTTAGTCGGCGGGCCGTACATCAACTTTGGGCTATGGTTTATCTCGATTTACCCGGCTTGGCTGGTTGTCAGACATTTTGGCAATGACGAAAAGAAGACTGATGCAGAGACAGTAGCTCAGTCGGAGTCAGTCCATGAAATCAAAAGTTGAAGAGGATGCTGGGCACTGCTGATTGATGGGCAACAAGTCAGGTTGTAGCTGAACTTGAGGTGTTACTTGTCCACATCTTGATCAATACTCTGGCTTTTATCCACAAAGACGCAGTTCTGAACATAAAAATACAACATATTTTTTGAGTAAACATGCCCTCTCACTTTTTGTTTTTCTTTGTTCTCTCATTGTAACCTCACATGCGTAAATGATAATGCGATGCTGTTAGAAATTTCATTGATCCGTACAACAGCAAAAGAGTTGGAGTATCACTTCACTCATAGTGACTGTGCTGTATTTGATGTCTTTGTCCTTGCTTGTTTGGTGAAAGATTATGATCTTTCAAGCTAATATTCATGCTATTCTTCCACGAATTAGATTGATGTCATCATGCCCGTGGGCAGTCTTCGTGATCTCTTTTTATTCTCACATAACTTTAGATACATACAATTGAGGACCACGTAGAAATCCTGCCTCAATCACTACTTTTCAACCTAAATCGACTATTCGACTCGTTAGTACGGAAAAGAAGGATAACAACGGCTTATTTGAACATTTTCAAAGGCCAAAGTCGGTCAGTAGTACAGCTCGAAGATCGAAAGGACCAGCAACAAAGAAGGACGCATACACGCAATATACTGTGCCAAGTGCCTTGCTCCAATTGCCACGGGAGACACGCGACCATATCTATGAGTTATCCTAGCTTGTGCCCTCGAGGTGTGAGCTAGATATTTGCGAGCCAGTTGGCAGTCTACCATGGGCTGCAGCATATCCAACATCTCCTCTCTTCGAAGTCTGCCTCCAAGTTCAAGCCGAGGTCCTCGAGTTGTTCCACAGCCAAAACCATTTCAGGTTCTGGCTTGGACGGAACAGGTGGTGTGGGAGCCAATACATGTTTGGCTCTTTCAACTCCACATTCACTGAAGCGCAATTCAAATCGTCACACCTCCCTTCTCTCAGGGGCATCAAGCAACTCTATCTGGACTTCTATAAAGGCACCGGACCAGGCCAAATAATTGCGTCGGAACTGGCTGCATCAGCCAGTCTGGTAGAGAGAATCACAATCTGCCTCAACAGACATAGCCAGGATCCGGCTTCTGACCAGTTTCAGACTGCTCTTCTGAGATTCGTGAGAGACATCCAGGAGCAAGTCCCTTTGGTGCATACAATCAGGCTCGCTCACCCCATTGCCAAAGAACTTGCTCAGAGAATAGCTAAAGAGACTTCGTTGCAAATCGAGGCCATCTGTGCGAGAGAGACTCATGACGAATGTGACCGCAAGCTTCCATTGTCACCAGAAACTTTTTGCGGCTCAGCTAGGTCTCAGAAAGCCCAAGAAAGTGATTCAGACAACACAGCATTCTAAAATATACAGGGATATATTTGGACTGTCAGGAAGTCGGTCGAGCGATGGCATCAATGGTTTATGTCAACAGGAGACTTGGTTTGAAGCTCGAAGCTTTCTTAGATTGAATAACTGGAACTATTGTGTGCCTATGTTCCCCGGGATGAATATAAGTCTACTTTGACGGTGAAGTAGGTGAGCCTGTCATTGCATGTCACAGCATTCAGTACTGTCATATATGCCACATACGCCATAATTGATGCAGAATGATTCTATTACTTTTGACCAGGCCGCGTTGATCACATATGTACCTTTGCCTGGCTCATCTGTGACCTCATCACGAACTAAACTTCCTTAATACAACCCCAAGAGTAAGAGAAATGAGAAGCTGGAGACTGGTAGAGAGTCTTTTCATCGTTGCGCTCAGTCCACAAATGACACTATCACATGCCACTGGCGAAACGCAGAACATCATGATCATTGCGTGGTTGGTAGGATTGGCGGGCTCTCTCCACTGGTTTTCCTTGATGAAAACCCCAAGCCGAGGGAGTAATCACTAACCAGGGGCGTTGTCTTCTGAGATAGGTCATTATATACCATGATAAGAGCGTGTTGAGACCTGGACTGTTTGCCTTGCATCCAGACAGGGGTCGCCTTCTGGCCAACGGGTTGGATGTAATAAGATTCGACCACGGATATTCACATAGCAGTGCGCAATAACTCCAATGGCCACATCCTTTTGCAAAGTCCCATCATACGACTAGATGCATTCATACGAGCCGATGATAGCAGTGTACGCTGAGAAGCTAGAGGTCGCGTCCCCAGGGTGGGTTGAGCAAACCAGATTGAGTCAAATACCTCAATGCACATTGTCGACGGAAGACACTATTAGCATCCCTGCAGGCATTGGGAAGCCTAATTTTTGCTTCCCAGCTCGACTGTTCCTTTGAGTTTATCGACGCGGGTCCGAGACATGCGGAGGAATCCGGGGTAGATGTGGAGGTCGGAGACGGAAGCCGGAACCCGGGAGGGAAGCTTTTGCCAGAAAGGGTTACCTCTTTGTCTGGAAGGACAAGACCAGGAGGGCAAATATTACTTATTCTGGAGTCTTGCATTCAAACATCCCGTTTAGAACAGCTGGCAAACCAGGTCAAGGCAGGAAGTGACATGATCTCATGTAGAAAGTAGTCGATGTTGGTCGTTAAAGACAATGATTGTGAAGAGGGCCAGATCATGGAATGCACAGTGGTCCACCGACCAGTCTTGGTAGCCAATCTGGGCCTCTCGAAAGACCTGCGGTCACTCGATCTCTCAGACTCTTAGTCTCGGTCTTCAGTGTGACCTCCGCAAAAAGCGCTCCAGTCTCCAGCGCTACCCCGGAAGTGCAGTCCCACCCCCGGTCACAAAAGTCTTCCGAGTCATGCCCTCCACGCCTCGGTCTTGCCAAAGGAGGCAGTCTTTAGCATCTTGAGGCTACCGAAAGATGTTGCATCCACGTGGAAAGTGCGGAGAACTGGGGAGGTCTCAAGCTCCCTCGACGAGTGTCCATGGGGAAGCTTGCATTGCATTCTTTATGTGCTTTTTCAATCCAGCATGCTTGGAGTATAAGATGCGTGAAGGTCCCACCACCCTCCGAGATGAGAACAATTCAAAGCAACCTCAACTCGCAGGGGGACATCATCACGCGTTCCGGAATCAACCCAGTCCTGTGCAACCTCGGACTGCCAACCACAATGGACGCCAAGAACGAGCCGACGGTCCAATATGATGACAAGCAGAGAGCCGACCAGTTTGAAGATGCGAAGGTGGCCGCAACAGCTGCGCTGCCAACATCGCAAGCCAACGAGAAGCTTACTTTCAGCGATCTGTGGGAGAACAAGCGCGTTCTGGGCTTCTGTCGGTTCATCTATCCCTATTGATCCCTGCAAAGAATGATTCGCTAATACGATGTGTGGCGGTGACAGGCTTGATGATCTACCTTTTGCCCATTAACTTTGGTTACGAAGTCTCGACCATCGGAAAGCTCCTCGCTGTAACCCCTTTTGCTCAACGTTTCGGCCACGAAATCAACGGAAAATGGCAAGTTGCCGCTCGGGACCAGCAGATCCTCAATGCCGCGGGCACGATCGGAATCTTCGTCTCGGCATTCGCAACAGGCTTCATTAGCGATATCTTTGGCCGGAAGAAGACCATTGGCCTCGCTTGCTTGATTTGCTGCGGTGGCACGATTCTTCAATACTTTGCTTCAACTATCATGATGCTTTTCGGCGGCAAGGTCGTTGCAACTTTTGGATTCGGTCTAGGTCACTCCTTGGGGCCTGTCTTTGTTGCCGAGCTCGCACCCGTCAAGATGCGTGGTGTTTGCCTGGTTCTTGTCAACACAATGATCACTGTTGGCCAATGGCTCAACTCGGCGACAGTACTGGCAAGCGATCACTATCACAATGACCTTTCTTGGCGAATCCCTTTAATTACGCAACTCATTCCTCCTGGACTGCTCCTTTGCGGTTTGGTATTCTTGCCCGAGTCCCCTAGCTGGCTTCTCATCAAGGGTCGTCGTGAAGAAGCCGCCATATCATACAAAAGATTCAACGGGCCCAGCTTCGACGTGGATGCCGCGTTGGCGATCGCCACTGTTGCCATTGCCAAAGAGCAAGAGGCCAAAAAGGAACAGGAGTCAGCTCGCTGGGTTGACTGTTTGAAGGGAGTCAACGGCAGGCGCACAGCAATTATTGTGATGATCTATCTCTCTCAGCAAGCCATTGGTGTGAACTTTGTTTCGGGCTACCTCACGTAAGGCAGCCACTTTTCTCTACAATTCCATGTCGAAGGTCACTAAACAGCTCGCAGATACTACTTTCGCTTGGCTGGAATTAACAATCCGCTTGCAATCGGCCAGGCAGCCTACGCAATTCAGTTCGTCGGCAACATGACTTCCTGGCCACTTGTGGATCGATATGGAAGACGTCCGTTGATCGTGGGCGGCGTATTCACCATGACAGCCCTTTTGCTTCTCATTGGCGGTATCAGCACCATCGGCAACCAAGCCTCACTCACCGCAACGGTCGCTTTCATGGTCATTTGGGGATACTTATATCAGGCAACTTTGGGTGCGGTTGCGTACTCTGTCGGAGGAGAAACTGCCAGGTATGTTTACGATAAACTCTCAGCTTAAGTTCTTAGACTTTGGATTGGATTCTGCATTGCTGCAAGCCATCAGTCCAGACTTCAGTTCAAGTGGTCTTGGTAGTATTAGCACGTGGTGTTGCTCAATACATAGGCTTGTGGGCCTTCAACCCTGACTCGTGGATAAGAGGAACAGGGGCATGCCTTGCTGACGAAATGACAAACAGTGTGCAATTGCGACAAAAAACTTACAGCATCAATATCATGTGCTCGACCGCGGCGTCCTGCTTAGTATTGCAGGTGATGCCCTACCTGCTCAATACAGACCAGGCCAACCTGGGCGGTAAGATTTGCTTCATCTTCTTCGGCCTATCGTTGCCCATGTGCGCATGGCTTTACCTGTACTTCCCCGAGATGAAGGGTCGCAACTACGCCGAGATTCAAGAAATGTTTAGCAATCGCGTGCCGGCCCGCAAGTTCAAGTCTTATGTTTGTGAGGTCAGCGCTGGGGGCCAAGAGGAGAAGAAGCTTCAAGACGAAGCATGAAGGGGCAAGCGGTGGATACCGAGAATGTAATCTCTACGGCTACCATAGGCTACAGCAGTGAAAGACAGACCACCTTATCCTGACTTTGCAAAGGGTGTGAAGCGTTCGCGAAAAATCTGGAAGCCATAGGGCTACCGTTAAGAAGCTTAAATGAGGCACACAAACCGTTAATGAGCACACGATGCTCCGTGCAGCCATTGGGTGGCCTGGTCCCCTTGGACTCGCCTTTGCGCATTTCGGTTGGCTCACTGTCGAAACCCGGCCGAAATGACATGGGACTAATGCAGAGGCGATGATTAGCGACGTTTAGGATAAAGCAAAATAACGCAGTGGGCCGGGATCATAATCGGAGATTAGAGTGATCCTGACCGGGACTCCTGCTTGTCAGAGTTCTTTGCTCGAGTCCATGACAATGTTGACATTGTAATCGTTCAGTCTTCTAGGGCGCGTCCACAATTTTCTTTTAAAATCTCCGCTCTCCACGGTCTTCTCCAGATCAGCGTTCTTTTTGGGGGCAAAAACGTCTGGCACAGCCTCAGTTCACAGTTGTTGGTCCGTCGATCGCGAACACTTCGCCGTTACACTCATTTACAACTACACTCATTTACCAGCAACCATGTTCTCTCAGCGCCTCTTGTGGCTTGGTGCCACTCTTCTGGCCTCGTGCTCCCAGCTTGCAAGCGCCGAGTTGCCCGCCGACGCCATCGAGCTCGATCTTGTCTTCCCTCGTGGCGATGGCAAATATGCCGAGACCACCAACGGCTACCCTGTCCTCCTCAACGTCCAGAACCCCGACGTCGCGTACAAGTACGGCTACAACTTTGTCTGGGATATCTACTCGAGAAATAAGAACTCGTACATGCGCACCGCCGCCCACGGCATTTTGGGCGCTTCCATCGGAAACGACAGCACCTTTGGCAACGGCCCGCACCTCGAGGTCGGCAAGACCGGTCACCTCGCTGCAGGCGACTACACATTCGCCTGGGTCTTTGGCATGGGCGCCCAATGCGAGTTCACCGAGCAACCCGACTACAGCGAGTTCAACCTGAATCCGCGCATCGCCAACGGTAGCTTTGACTTCACCGTCGAGACCAGCGGTAAGGAGCCGACTTTCACCACTTGCCCGAGCGCTATTGGCAGCATGAGCTACGTTTCCACGACGACATACAACTCCGAGGCCACCAGCGTCTGTGCCGTCACCGCTTCCGTCACCCACGATTCGCAACCCTGCTCCGCTACCGTCAGCAACGACCAAGCTACTAGCGTTTACAGCGAGCTTGGTTATGCTCGCGCAACAGGATCTTCCGGAGCCGCATCGCTCAACTCGAACTTGCCCTCGTCTCATTTCG